CAGTCTCTAGTTTTAACTGATTTTCATTTTCAGTGATATGCATAGAATACCATTGCCATTCTAAATAGGCAGAAGAGACTGAGTGTGAAGAATTTCATGCTAAAATGTCACGTCCCTGAAGTCACCAACAGCAAAACATGGGCAAAAGGGAAAAGAAAGAGTCTATATGAAACTCCAACAGAATTAGGGGTTAATTTCTCTGTATTTGTTATAAAGCTAAACAAGGAACAATCTTCTAAATTAATAGTTGTATTTTAGAAATGAAATCCTCCACAATACTCTAGCCAAGAGATTGATGAGAGATTCATGTGCTATTTCATTGACATATTCCAATTTCATGAGTTGAGGAAATTTACCAGGAAAAGGGTTGACTAACTTAAATTTCAAGAGAGATATAACAAGTGCTGGCAAGGATGTGAGGATAAAGGAACTCTTCTCCATCGCTGATGACAATGTAAACTAATACAACCTACAGTAATCAGTACGGAGGTTCCTCAAAAAACTATAAATAAAATTCCCATTTGACCTAGTTTTCTCCTTTTATCCATCTTCCCAAAAGAGTTAAAATGATAATATTACAAGGATAGTTGCATACTCATGTTTAAGGCAGCACAATGTGTGATAGCTAGATCTCAGAAACAGTGTATATGTCCATCGTAGATGAATGGAAAGGAAAATGTGGCATTTGTATACAATGACATAGTACTTTGCCATAAAAAAAGATAATCTTGAGGAATTCATAGGTAATGGATACAATTTGAAAACATAATGCTTAGTGAAATAAGTCAGACAAACCCAAATATCCCAAGGTTTCTCTTATATGATAAACTAATATATATAAACAAATAAAGAGCAAAATAGAAAATAAATAGGAAGTAAGGATAAGTTCAAATAATTCCCAAATTATCTATTCCCTTGTTCAACAGTATTTTAGTATATATGCTAATTTGTTATATTTATACTACTGGTTTCTCCTACTTCACTGAAAAGAAAGTTCTGTGCTGTTATCTGTAGTTTCTTCTTTATAAAAGAGAATCTTTTGTCTGTGTCTTGTACTTTGAGTAACCACTTTGAAGATAATGACACAGAATGTTCCCTGTTGTTATTCCCTTATTATTTTGTTATGAAATTTTGTATGTTTTCATAAAATAAAACTCTGCAAAAAAGACAGACATAACACAAATATTCATGTTTAACCTTCCTGACTCCATTAAAATTATAGTAATAAAAATAAAAGGTTCAAATGTAAAACAGCAATGCTGACGAGTAACTTTCCATGATAAGAAACTGTGAAGAAAAAAACTTATAAAAGAAATAAAGAGGACCTAAGAGAGCGTTATGAAGGTGCAGAATTAAAGAACCTGCAGCCTCATAGAGGCACAAAGTAGACTCCACCTGCAGAAAGAAAGCTCTGCAGAACTCTGAGGAATGTGAGGACAGTTGAGGGGAATTCAGGCTGAAATGAAAAGCATTCATTTCCATATTTTAAAGCACAACTTTGGACTGCCAGATGCTTACTTCTCAGCCAAAATATGTTGAGGGTAGCCACAGTAAGGGTTTGAACATACTGGGAATAGCTAAGCAGTAGGGATCAGGGTTCCTTTCCATTTTGGTTTTTTTGATTTACCTGTGTATTTGTTGCCTGTTGTCTACAAACAAAAACCTATGTCTCCACAAACTACAGACTTGTATAAGCCGCAGTAAAAACTCACTAGACATTAAAGAAAGATTGTAATGCAAATGAGAAGCTTGAGTAAAAGAAATATAATAATAAAATGGGGGAAGGAGAGATACTTATAGAAACAAGATAATATATTCTTTCCAAATTATTCTTCCTATTTATATTTTAGAGTACATATATTACTTCCTTAAGATAGAAAGAGTAACTGTGAAAAAGCTCAACTTTAAGTTTAAATTGCAAAAGCAGTTCTAAATTTAAAATCTTGTCAACACAAGGAAAATTCAGTGACAGAATTTGAAAATAGTTTTTACAAAATCTTCATAAGAAGAAGAGATATATTAGAAATGAAGAAAAAAATTGACTCTAAATATTTTAACAGCCATTTTTGTGAAAAGAAAATCAGTTAGACAAACAAAAGGAATATGCTCCAAAAAGTCAGAAAATATTGAAAATCAAAGGATATGAGTCTCATGATCAAATGAAATCAATAAATGCCTATTTAAGGGATAAAATGAATAAACAAACCAAACAAGGAATAGAACTAAGGTAACGGTATGCATTACCAAAGAGAAAAATACAGTGATACCTACTATTAAAATTATCAGATTGACATTTGTTTCTCATCAGCAATAGTGGGTGGTCCAAGGCAATGAAGAAATACTCCAGAGGCTTCAAGGGAAGAAGCACGATTAACATAAAATTGTGCAACTCTCAGTCACACACAAGCGCATTATAGGACTGCAAGACAGAGCCTGTGACCTGTTAGCATGACGACTGGAGTCATTGGGAGTCACTCTTTTTCTGATTCTACACACTGAGTTCAGATCCCTACTTGAACCCGGTGATGCTAGCCTGGGCAGGCTGACAATGGAAGGGGAGTTTCGCAGGCCTATTTTTGTGTTTTACAATGCTCTCATTTTGTGCTAGTCATCATTCAGGCCATTATTTATTTGATACCAGAGAGTCTTTAATTCAGAGATTGATGAGGTGTTCTGTGCTGACATGAGGTTGTGTTTAGTCTCCATCTAGATCCATCCATACAGTAGCAGATTTTGTACCCATATATAAGAAAATGAAATAGTAAAAAATAGTATACTGAATTATATTGAAATATATTATACTGAAATACATCCTGGATGAATCTTGAAAACATGTTATATGAAAGAAGCTACAAACAAAGGTCATTTATATTCTATTTATACGATACAACCAGAGTAGCTAAATGCATAAAAATAGGAAGTAGATTGCCAAGTGTGGTGGTGCACACCTGCAATCCCAGCACTCAGGAGCCTGAGCCAGAAAGATCATCACGAGTTTGAGACCAGCCTGACCTACATAGTGACTTCAAGGCCAGCCTGAACTACATAGTGAGACCCTGTCTCAAAAAACAAAACAAAACAAAAAATGTAGACTAGTAGTTACTAGAGAATGAGAAAATCATTCCCTTCTGTTTATTAAAGTTTGTGAGTGACTGACAATAGGTACTTAGTTTTTCACTGTGGTGATAGAACCGTTGTGTAATTAGATGTGATGGTTATTGCATAAGGCAATGAGGACATGAACAACCACTGAACTGTGTGTTTCCATAGAGTAAACTTTATGTTATATGATTTTTTTCCTCAATAAAACTTTCACCCAGAAAGGAATATATACTTTGGGAGGGTAATAAAAATATTCTATAATGGATTTGCTGATGACTGGGTGAACTTTACAAATATGTTAAAGTCATTGAATTGTCTCCTTTAAATTGGTTAATTGTGTGCAACGTGTATGTGAAGTACATGCCAATGTTGTTGGCATCCCCCCAAGACCCAGGCCCTTAATTATGTCCATAATTTTTCATGATCAAGGTCTAGCATGCAGTAAAAAATAATGATGTATAAAAAGTAAAAATAATTTAAAATCATGAGAAAAAAGAAAAGTCTGGATACTAATATATCTGATTTAATAGTTATTTTTCATCTAGTATACTTTTAGAGTCCTGGAAAAAGATATGAGAATTGGATAGCAGTAAAATTTGAAGAGACAAGAGTCAAAAATTTTCCAAAAGTGATGAAAGATAGTAACCTAGAATCAAGAAGTCCAGGAAACTCCAAGCATCATAAATAAAAAGAACAGAATATTAAGGAACATAATAATAAAACCAGTCAAAACAAGTATGGGGGGGAAAATTTAGAAGCAGCCAGGGTTGAGGATGGCAAAGGTACATTTCTTTTAGAAAAGCAACAACAAGACTGAGAAATGTCTTTCAATTGGAAATAATGGAGGGGCTGGGGATTTAGCTCAGCGGCAAAGCGCCTGCCTGGCAAGCGCAAGGTCGTGAGTTCGGTTCCCGGTACCGGAGAAAAAAACAAACAAACAAAAAAAAGGAAATAATGGAAGTAGAAAGCCATTAGAATGGCTTTGTCACACTGATGTGGCAAAAGCCCTATTAAATTGGAATTATGAGTTTTTTGAAAATGTTTTTCAAAATAAAGGCATTCTTTGACAAAATGAGAGAATTTGGTGTCTATAATCTTGTACTAGAAATAGAAGAGAATTCTTTAGGCAGAAGAAAAATTGCTCCAGAGAAAAGTACAAACTTGGACAAGGAAGTAAAAAGCAACAGAAAGGGCAAATGTAAATGAATATTAATAACAATAATTATAACATATCATTATATTTAATTATATATAATGAATTAAGTGCACAAACAATAGCACACATAAAGAGAGAGCTGATATAAGCTCATTGCATTTTCGGACCTTGATAAAAGTCCTAAATTAGATTGCACTCTAATAAGTCAGAATGTATCTAATAATCTCCAAGTCAATGACTAAAGTAAGAATAAAAGAATGTATTGTTAGCAAATCAACCAATAGGGAAAACAAAAGAAATTAAATAGCCTAACAGAAGTCAGGAAAATATAAAGGACCAAGTAAGATAATAGAAAATAAATAATAATGTCCTAGATTAAAACCCTAACTATCAGTATTTATGGTAACTAGGGGCTAAATAGTCTAGTTATAAAAGATCAGTAGGTTGACTATGAAAACAATTATGTGTATACTTTTAGAATCATGCTACTGGGAAATCCTGTCCTGTTTAATTGTGGTTATTAAATAGAAGATCCATGCAGAGGTTAGAAGGAAGGAGAATAAGAAATAGATGGCTCAGGAGATTAAGTGTGGTCCACAAAACGAGAGGCAGGTTTATTGGTAAGGTTGCACAGATAAGCAGAAAAAACCCTAAGTCAGGAAGAAAGAAATGGAGGGGAAGTTGAGAGCAGAGTAAATGAGCACAATTTTCAGTGATCATTACAGAAATTCCATCTACTGAATGTCAAAAAGAGCAATTAAAATTTTTGCCATATACAAGAACAGCTGCTCCACTGAGCAGGTTGAAGTAGAGTTTGTCTTCATTATTTGATTCTTTTAACCATGAATATATATTACACTGATTCAGATTTTTAAAATTAAATGATTTATTTGAAAACCTATGGTAGTGAATTTTAAAGAAAGATAAATATTTCCCCTTTATGGGCTATCACTTCTACTTACATTCTTGCTTTACTGAGAGAGGAATGATCTTCTCTTCATTCTTTAAAGGGTGATCCATGTTCACAATCAGGTATTGGAGTCCCAGGGACCTCACAGTCTCCAAAGAGATGGTGTACATTTTAGTGACAGTTACTGTACCATTTGGGTTCTGAGCAAGACATTCCTCCGGAGGGTTAATGAGGACTTGTGAGGGAAAAAGAGAGATTCGAGGAGCAGGTTTTCCCACAGCTGAAAATACAAGGCTAAGAAAACCATCAGCGTCAGGATCAAATTGGAGTTCAGTTGTTAATTCGGATACAGCTGAGGCAAAAAAAAAAAAAAAAAAAGAGAGAGAGAGAAACAAAATTGAAAGTATGTTATATCACATTCCTATGATGTTAAAGACTAGACTTCCTAAATCATTATATAATGTCAAAATGTTGAAAACACACCCTTCTCAGATACTTCTTGTAAATTATGAAACCTGACAATACTATTCTTCATATTCACTGACAGGCCCTCTAATATGAAAGGAACAATTGATGTATCCACTTTCATTCAACCTTAAAATTACATTATTGACACCTTAATACTTTAAATGTATAGCAACATGGTAAGGGGGCTTTATGCCATTTTCACTGGCACTGCAACATTTTGTTTTTTTTCTAAAGAATGAGAAAAACTTATTTTGTTAGAATCTTCATCCTTCCTCTTTCTCTTTTTCTACTATCTCTTTTTCTTTCTTCAGTTTTCTCAACTCTTCAGTGAGGAAATGCTAATTCTCTTCCTGAATTTTACCCACTCAAGGAAAGCCAGTGCAATGCAGTGTAAAGTTAAATAAGGGGGCAAGATCCTGTACTACGTTTAAAAAAAAAAGGCAAGTCACAAGTCACATGATCATCATTAGCTTCCTTTTTTTTTTCTTCTAGATAATAAAAGACTTGGCCTGGATAATTTCTACTATTCTCTCATCCTTTAAAATTCTTTCTCTGGACACCAATCTCGCAATATCACAACCCCATGAATTCTGTCCCAGTAATCTATAGAAAATAGTCATATACTTATAATGTTAAGGCAGATTTGCCCTCCATGACTGCCATGTGGAAACACATTAAACAGACACTTGTAGCAAGCTTCATCTTCAAGTGTCACTTCTTGGATAGTTATGAATGAGGAATTGGGTTCAATGATTTTACACTGCAGCCGGTCTACGTATGGTGGAAGAATCTTTTCTCCATATTTACTGCTGTACGTCCCGATATTTTGTGGCAGAGAGTTTTGGATCTTCTGCCAGGTAATTTGCACAACATCTGCTGGAGTTGTCAAATTGCAGAAAATAGTCACATTTCCTCCCAGTATAGCTGTCTCATTCTTCTTATACTTTATCCCATGTGAAGGATCTGAAAATAAAATTCAGTATTAAGAGAATGCATTTTTATTCATATCTGGCTGCTCAGATCATAACACTTCTCTCTCTTATCATTGTCATTTTATTTGCCTCTCTTACCTACTACAAAATGGACTCCCCTATCTTCTTCCTTGTTGAAATCTAGTTTCTAAAATTAACTCCTGTGTAAATTACTATATCAAGAAATATTTTGAGAGTGCAAAAGTTGAAACACAAACATGAGATCAGTATGGTATGGTAGCTTTTTGTCACTATGGAAAAATGCATGAGAACATCAACATGGGAGAAGGATTTATCTTGGCTCACAATTTCAGAGGTTTCGGTCGTATTCACTTTACTCTGCTGTTTCCTGGCTGAGGAGAGACATGGCATCATGGCGGAAAGGGTGTGGTGGAGAAAAGATGGCCTCATGGCAGCAGGAAGCAGGAAGAGAGAGCCATGCTGGTGGGCTTCCTTCTTGGGAAGGAAGGACTCTAGCCTATTCGATGGTTCCACCCACATTTAAGATATTTGTTTCTGGAAATGCCCTCACAGGCACGTTCAGAATTCCCTAGGCATTTCTCAATCCAGTGAAGTTGACAATTAAGATTAAGCACCACAAGCCACCCCTGGTCATCCTGACACCTAAGCACATTTCCTTAAACCACACTGAATCTCCAAATAAACACAATAACAAGGTAATAATTTTGCCTGATGTGATATAACCAAAATTACTAATTTCTTCCCCCAAATCACAACAGTTCCAGCATTGTTCAAAAGTTCAAGTCTAAAGTATCTTCCGAGCCACAAGGCAAACTCTTTGGTGTGGGCCCATGTTTTAAAAAAACATGTCCTTCCAACACACAATGGTCAAATAAGGTATACATTCCTGTTCCTAAAGAGAGGAGTAGGAAAATAAAAAGGGATTAGACAAAAAGTAAGGTCAAAACCCAGCAGAGAAAACATTAAACCCAATAGCTCCTGGGGCATATATTGACCTGATATGAGCTCCAAAGGGCTTGTGAAGACCCACCATTGTGGCTTTGTTGGTTGCAGCCCACATGACCACTCTCTTAGGCTGGCTCTGCTCCCTGGTTTTGGTAGACAGTCTGTGTTTTTGGTATTGTCTTCCTGGGGTCTTTATCCCAGCCTGGGCTTCATTCTCACAGGTACAGCATTACCTTTCAAGGGCTGCCTTCTGGAACTCTCACCCTGTTAGGCATTGCCTGGCCACTGGATTTTCCTTTGAATTTTGGGTAGAAGCTTCGTTATTTCCATAAGTCTTATGTTTGGCATGCTTGCAAAACCAGCACTACATAGATGACTGAAAGGGTTCCACAACCTTGCCCATAGCTGCTAAGTGGTTGGATGGCTGAACATAGTGAAATGAATGCTGAAGAAACAAGTTCCTAAGCTATCCTGTGAGAGTAGGGCACTCTGACGATCTATCCTTAAAGCAAAGTCTTTTAAAAGACTATACTTTTATACTATTAAACCTAAGATGGGTGGGTGAAGGCTGAGCAATTCCCTTGACACCCTCCAGGCATCTTTCCTATTGTCCAGGGCAAAGCACTTACTTTCTTCTTAGTGGCACTCATTTCTTCAGCAACCATATCTTATTTAATCCTAATTTTACAGGAACCTCTTTTCTGGTCAAATTGCAAAGTTTTCACATCCTTCTGCTCTGGTTTTTGTACCCAGTCTGAATCTGGCCTCGTGGTACCATGCCACAGTCTGAATGCTGTTCTGCCTTGAAATTTCCTCTGCCAGATGAATTAATCCGTCATTTAAAAACCCAGCCTCCCACAAAGTCTCAGATATGGACAAAGTAGAAACAATTTCATTGCCAGAATGTAACACAAATGACCTCTATTTCTACTCTCAAGTATAGACTTCATTTCCACTGGAAGCCTCATTAATATAGTCTTTACTGTCCTTAATGTACATATGTCAGCATTCTGGTTTTCTGAGGAAAGAGCAGAACTGTCCATTAAACCATACATACAAGAATGTAGACTTCTCTAGCACACATCTCCACACCTTTGAAAACTACTGCAAACCAGCTCAAAAACATTCTAAACTATATCATCAAGTAAAACCTCATACCACAGTGATATATGTGCACCCATGTTTACACCAGCACAATTTGTCATAGTTAAATTTTGGAAACAACAACCCAAATGCCCGACAATGGAGGAATGGATTAAAAAGATGTGCTATTTTTATATAATGGAATATTACTCAGCTATAAAAGAAGATAAACTTGAGGCTTTTACAGGTAAGTGGATGTAACTAGAGACCATACTCATAAGCGAAATAAATCAGACACACATGTGTAAACAACCCAAAACGTATAATAGATATCAGGAAAGGGAAAGAAATTATTCAAAGGGAAGGAACAACAGGGATGAAGGAAAGGAGAAAAGGAAGAAAAAAGGGAAAACATATGTAAATGTATATACAAGAATAGCTGGAATAATTGCACTGGTGATGTCGATTGGTTTATTGAAAGGAACAGTTAATGCTTAAATATTTTGTCTTGACCAATTTTGCATGCTTATATCTGGTAATCTGAACAACCAATTTGAAGACAATATGCAATATAGCAACCATTGTTGAATTCCTACCATCTTGTTTAGTGAAGGTCTGTATCACTTCTAATGTTTTTTTAATTACTTTTTATTCTCTTTAATGGTTTGATCAATCCTGCATTCTTACATCTGGTAATCTGAGAAACTTGTTTGAAGATTAAAAATATGTAATATAACAATCATTGTTAATTACTATCATTTTGTTTTGAAATCCTGTATTATCATTTTTGTGTTGTTTTGTTTTTGTCTTTGTTGTTGTTATTTTGTTATTGTTTTCCTTATTCTCTTTAAAATATAAGAAGTATAGTCACAGCAATAACCATACTTCTCAGTATTCATTTTCTGTGTTAGTTGGCTTTATACTGCTGTGACAAAATACCTGAGAATAACAACTTAAAGGAGGAAAGATTTATTTTAACTCACACTTTCAGATCTTTTAGCCCATAGTCAGCTGGCTCCATCAGGTCTGAGATTAGACAGAAGCATCCTGATAGAAGGTCATGGCAGATGAGAGCAGCTCATCACATAGCAGCCAGGAAGCAGAAAGGAAGAAAGTCCTGGCAGGCTACCTCCTTCATAACTCTATAACTTTCCTTCCAAATAGTGATTTTGAAAGCTTTGACTTTTCTCAGGGCTTTCTGACTTTGTGCTTCCTGGCATAAACTGAGCACCTTTCCTCTGCCACACCCTTCTGCCATGATACTTCAGCTTCACTAGAGGTCCAAAAGCAATGAAGTCAGGTAATCATGCACTGAAGCCTCTGAAACCGTGAGCCAAAATAATCTTTCCTTTTTAAAGTGTTTTTCCTCAGTTATTTTTGTCATACCAATGGAAAGTTTAATAACATATTGTTAGTTTAAAAATTTCTTTTTAGTTAGTAGGTCACAGTGTAAGAATGCTATGAACTGATCTAAATTAGGAGTGTAGTGATTATGGGCACTGAAGCCAAAGATTAAGAGCACAAAATCATCATGAATCTTCACAATCATTGATATTTTCAATATCCTGTTACACAGTTAAGACTGGCAAAAAGGCATCATTTTGTGTTGGCTGAGAAAATATATCATTGCTTTTGGGCTTTGGGGGATTTGGTTGTTTTTGTTTCTTCATGAGTGTGAACATTTTTAAAATTTTTTGTTTTGCTTTGTTCTTGTTTTTTATTCTTCCCTCTTTCTTTCTCTCTGGTCTTTTTCACCAGTTCCCAAGGCTTAGGTACTCTTCTTTTGTCCTGAAGTCTTGCTTCTGCTCTCTTAGTCTTCCTTTATTCACTATTTTTTCCTGTTATACCTTTTAAATTACCCTTCTTAGGGTAAAATCACTCTATTGATTGGATATTTACTGTATATAATTTTCTGTTTTGTTTTAGATTTTGTTATATAACTATAAATTGTGTACCTATGGTTAGAGGCAACAAATTTCTAGTATCACAGCTTGTCATTTTACAGTCTGTGCTTGATGTTATTGTTATTACTGACTGCACTACTTAGCCAAGGTGAAATAGTTGTTGTGATCAATTGATCTTCCTTGTATGCTAATAGCAAGATTGTCTGGGAGTCTTAAACAATACTGTAGTCCTGTACCAAAGAACTGGGTACTAGGCCAAATAGGCAGCAACTTTTCATCCATAATAAATTGAAGAGGTAAGATCCTGGAACATATACAAAAGCTAAAATTCAGCTATGCCTAAAAGATATCTCTGAAAAGCAATCATTTCCTAACCAGGTTTCAATGAAAGTAATAAAGCTTAATAAAGCTACCTATGATAAGCAATTTATAAGCTTCAATATAAATAATAACAAAGAAATAGAAAATGAGAAAACATGGAAGCAAGATGGAACCTATCATCCCCAAATCACATGAAGCAAATCAAGGGGACATTGAGGTGGAAAAAATAAAAAGATATCCAACTAAATTTTATAAAATGGTAGCAAGAGAAGTAAACAAACAAACAAAAAGATTAATAAATCTTCTAACAAAAACAAAACAGAGATAATTAAAGAGCTGACAAATATAACAAAGGAAATGATTAGTGAATCTAGAGTAGATACAGATAAAAAATAGAGGAGATTAGAAAAAACCTGGAGACTATGAATGCTCAATGTAGAATAGAACTAGATTCCATAACAAACTCAAATACAAATCCAAGAGATTAAAAATTTTACTGAATGTATACACAGCACAGTCAACCTATTTGAAGGTAGAATATGAGATCTAGAAGGTAGGGTTATGGTTGCCAATCATCAAATGAAAGACTTCTTAAAAACATCAAGGGACAATGAAAAAAATCAATTCAGCAGCTGCAAGATAGTGCAAAAAAGACTAATATGAGATTAATTGGAATCAATGAAGAATCAGAAGGCAGTGAAAAGGACATAAAATCCCTGTTCTCCAAGGTAATAGCAGAAAACTTTCTGAGCATGGAAAAGAATTTGAGACACAGGTAAGTGAGGCCTATAGAATGCCAAATGGTCATGGTCAGAAAAAAACTACACAAAGGCAGGTAATCATTAAGATTACAGAAATTAAACACAGGAAAAGAATACTAAAATGTGTTAGGGAAAAGAAACAAATTACCTACGAAGTCAAACCCATCAGAATCACAGCAGATGTCTCAACTCTAACCCTTAAATCAAGGAAAGCTTGGAGTGAAGTATTTCAGCTCTAAAATAAAACAAACTCTGACCCAGACTGATGTACCCTGCAAAATTATCTTGCAAAATTAAAGGAAAAGTAAGATATTACTATGACAAAGAATGCATGAAGAAATTCATGACCAACAAACTGTCACTCCAAAAGTTCTGAAGAATATTCTAGAAAAAGACAATGAAGACAACAACTTCAAGAATCCCAAAAGGATGACTCCACCAAGCAAGGCAAACAATTAAACAGAAGTGAAAGAAAGGAAACAAACAAAATAACATGAAAGGACAAGTAAATACATATCAGTAATAACCATCCATGTAAATGGTTTCAATTTACCAATCAAAAGAGAGATTGGCAGAATAGATTAATAAACAATATCAAACAATATTCCACATGCAAGAAATATATTTAACTCAAATTCATAGGCTGAAAAGTCAAAGGGCGGAAAGCAATACTCCATGTGACAGGAACAAGGGAAAAAACAGGGGTAACTATTCTCTTTTCTGACAAAGGAGATTTCAAGCCAAGACTGATTAAGAGAGACAAAGAAGGTCACTACATACTTGTTAAGGAAACAAGCCAAAAGGAAAGATCATAATAATAAATATATATGCACCAGATACTGACACACCAGCTATATAAAACAAACATAAATGTGCATGAAAAATACAGTAAACAGCAAAACATTTATAATTGGGATCACTGTCGCAAGTAGAGCTACTACACAACAAATGAACAAAGAAATATCAGACTGGAACCAAACCTGTGAACAAATGAACTTATTAGAAATCTATAAGGTGTTCTACCCAACAATAGCAGAATACATATTTTTCTCAGCAGCACACAGGCTTTCTCCTAAATAGATCACATACTACTTTGTAGAACATGCTTAAGTAAATACAAACAAATTGAAATTATTCCATGTGTATTGTCAGGTCACATTGCAATGAAATTGGAAATCAATGGTAAAAGAAACCACAAAAATTACATGAACATATTAAAATTAAATAAAACCCTCCTGAACAACCAATAGGTCAAACTGAAATTTAAAATAAATTAGATGGTCTCTATAGTTAAGCAATAATGTCAAGCAAACATACTGGAATTTATCAATGCAATGAAAGCAGTCCTATGAAGGATAATTATATTGGTGAATTCCCACATAAGAAAAACAGAACAAGCTCAAATAAACAGCCTAATGTTGAATTTCAAACTTATAGAAAAAAGAAGAGCAAGTTAAACACAAAGCACAGATAAGGGAGGAAATTATAAACATAAGAGTAGAAATTAATACGCTTGAGACTAAGAAAACAACACAAAGAATCAATGAGTTGAAGATATTGTTCTTAGAAAGACTAAATAAAATAGACAAAGCTTTAGTCAACCTCATCAAAAAGAAAGAAAGAAAAAAACAAAGAAACAAAGAAACAAAGAAAGAATTATGAATTTCCTTCCATGCACTTGGGGAGGAAAATAACAAAATCACAACAGATAATACAGAAATCCAGACGATCATCAATATCTACTTTGACGATCTGTACTCTAATAAGATAGAAAACTCAGAAAACACACATACCTCTAGAAACATATGAATTGCCAAAGCTAAATTAAGATATAAAAATTCTAAATAACCCAATATGTCAATAAAATTGAAGTAACAATAACAGCAAAAAACCCCCAACAAAGAAAAGCCCATCCTGACAGATTCATTGCTGAATTCAACAAGAAATTTGGAGGTGATCTAATGCCACTACTTCTCATACTCTTTAATGAAATTGAAAGGGATGTAATGCTCCTAAAGGCATTCCTGGAAACAAGCATTACCATGGTCCCTAAACCAGGGAAGGATCCAACCAAAAGAGAACTACAAGTGAATCTCCTTAATGAACATAGATGTAAAAATCTTCATTAAATATTGGCAAAAGTCATCAAGATTATAAATCACGACCAAATAGATTTCATTCCATGAATGGAAGGATGTTCCAACATATACAAATAAATTACATGTATTGATCATAATACTACATTTTTTTTTTTTTTTTGTGGTACTGGGGATCGAACTCATGACCTTGCACTTGCCAAGCAGGAACTTATGCCACTGAGCTGTATCCCCACCCCACAATACTACATTTATACATTACATTTATAGAATCAAGGAAAAAATCCACATGACTATTTTAATAGAGGCCGGAAAAAGCATTTCACAAAGTCCAACACTCATTCATGATAAAACCCTACAGAAAATTTTAATAAATGTAGCATAGAATATCTATTTGTCTATAGTGGCCAATGATTTCTTAAATAAGGGACACATCAACAATGTGATACTTTATTTTCTTGAAGACATGAAATAATAAAAATTAAGAAGGGAGAATTTAATCTATTTTAATATTCAATAACTTCAGTTCCTCAAAAATTACAGCTTCAGAAGTAAGAAGGCAACCCATGGAGTAAGAAGAGGCATTTTCTATACATGCACCCTAAGATAAAGGCACAAATTAAGAGAATTGAAAGAATGCTTATTATCTTCTCAGAAAAAAAATGTATTCATGCCTGTAAAATCTGCCGATATCCTTCGTGGGCATCTTTTCCAAGGATCTTACCCCCACAAGAAGCATAAATACTCCCAGTTCCAGGAAATATTGTGCCTCTGTCTTGAGCACCCACACTAATTCTTTGTGCCCTATTAAATTTCTGTCTAATAAATCCTTTTATGCCACTTACTGATGCATCTTGAAAATTATTTTTCCTTGAAAAGAGTCGGGGAAGCTTTAAACTCATTTTGTCGGTAAAGCCAACAAAAGTTTAAGTTCCTTATCTCCACTTTGGGAACCTTTTAGGACTCTGTCAGATGACACTTACCTTTCTATCATTCTCTATTTAATAAGTCATTATTTCAAGTATGTCACATGAAACTATTAGCCATATGGTTGGATGGTTACATGATTAACATACAAACACAAACACAAACACACTACCCTCTTTACCCATCTTTATTAAAGTAAGTAGTAGATAGCGTGGTATTTATTGGCCATTGATTTCTGGCCAAAAGAATTTGAGAGAAAAAGTGAAGAATTACCTGACTCTAGTGCATAGATGGGAAGTATCAAAAGCTGTTGGATGAGATGGAGTGGAAAACCCATGAGATTTTATTGACAAAAATCCTCGGTAATAGTCAGAGTAGTTTATTTTCTAGCTGAACTCCCACAGAGAAATTAAGAACTCACTTAAATTTCTTCTAAACTATTACTCATTAACCATCTACAATTATCATAAAAAGTTCGTTAAAGTTGTCTTGCAATATTTTTCAACTTCCTGGTATACCCAGTTGCCAATTCTGTTCAGATATATCTATGAAGAAATTTTTCTAAATACTGTATCTGCCTTCTGTTTTGAGCTATCACATAACTCACAGGCTCTGATAACTTGAGGAACTTTGTCCTTTCAGGAACAATCATCTTTATCCAGAACTTCCCCAAAAGTTCCTTTAATCAACCAGATGAACCAGAGGAAAGGATAGACACAGAGTAGTGGACCTGACTTCTCTACACTAAGATCAGCAGCCAGCCTCCATTTCACACACATATTCATTTATACCCCATTCCCATAGTAACAAATAATATTAGCACAAAAGATACATTGTGGGAAATGAGCACGCTCTTTTATTTTCACCTGTAAGTTCCTATCAAATATTATCTTCCCTACTCATAACTTCTCCCCTAACTTCTGCCTGAGGAGAAACAAAAGTCCCAAGGTTATGTTTGGTCAGATATGACCCACCCTTTTAAACCAATATTTGTCTTTCCAATGGTTATAGGTGTTAGAGACTTACCTTTCATCACTAAATACAAACCTCCATCTATATTCTATATCATCCACAAAGTCCCACTCCCCAGTAGAGAGCTATTTTCTTAGTTAATAAGGTGAATCAAACTCAGATTCTAAAGAATAAGAAAGTTGATGCTAAGAATGTATTACCTCTGGTTTTTGCGACCACTGGAAGGAGATTTCATAGAGAATAAGGATGTATTAGGCACTCAGCAACTTCCAAGTCAATGAGTGCAATTAACATTTGTGTTAAAGGGAGAAAATTCTATTGAAGTGAAAACCCAGCTCCTGACTCATTTCTTGTGGGAAATAGAACACAATATGTAAAATTTTAAAGATTTACTCCAACCCCACCAAGGTGCTCTAAAGAAAATCATGACTAAAGAATTAAAGGAAAATATGACAATTATGAGTAGATGAATGTATAAAGCAAGATCCAATTATACACTTCTTTAGGTAGGATAGAATAGCAAAAAGAGACAATAAGCTTTTTTTTTCTTTCTTATGGCCTTAACATTTTGGATCAAACCCCCCCCTTAACTCTGCATGTAGCCGTATTAGTCATTTAGTGTTATCTGTATTAAAGCTTTAGTACCTAATCTATCTAACACCTTTCAAGATAGGAGGACACAAAGATAAGAGTGGCTAAACTACTGTGATTAGGATTTACAAAGATCCAATTGTCCAGGAGGTTTCACAACATCCAGTTCAGACCCCCTCCCCAAGTGATGCCCTAAAATCTCCAAACCCACAAGTATCTCAGATTCCAGGAAAAGCAGAATCCAACATAATAAGCTCACCCACCCAAGCAGGAGAAATCATCTTATGGGAGTTGAATTTCCCCAGAATTATGAAACCTGAACTGAAATAATGATTAGGCCTTGGCTCCTCTCAGCTAATGATTAAAAGTTGGCCTCATTCTTTTGAAAGCAGGCTAGTCTGAACCCTCCCGTCAAAGTGAGCCCCTCCAATTTCTATAGCTGGAGTCATTTCCCTCCTTCCCCTTCCTTTCTGACTCTGCCTGGAAATCAGCTTATGCCGCACACTGATGCATCTTGAAGCTCTTTTTCAGTGACAAGAGTCAAGAACCTACTCAGTAAGCTGAGTTGAGGTTTCCATCTCCGCTTTATGGGACAACCTTGGTATCATCCAGCAGCAATTCCTACAGGAGACTTATGTTAGCTGTAAGCCTTATTATAGCTATAAGAGGTTTATTTTAGCTATAAGAAGACACAGAGTTTAAAAATGAAGTGGAGAAAAGGTACTTAATGTAAATGGAAAGCAAAGGAGAACAGAGATGGCTAAACTTATATGAGATGAAATCTACTTTAGGTGAAACACTATCAGAAGAGACAAAGAAGATCATTATATAATAATAAAGGGGTCAATTCATCAATAGGATGTAATGATTTTAACATATATGTACCCAACATGGGAGAACCTAAACACAAAAATTGAACACCAACATGATCTGAAGAGAGAAATGGACATCAACACAATAATAGTAAGGGACTTCAGTACCCCACTTTCAACAGCAGATAGATCATTCTTCTGGCAAGTCAGCCGTAAAAGAGCAGAAGTGAACAATACCTCTGACTAAGTGTACCACACAGACCTACAGAGAACATTTCATCAAAACGCAGCAGAGCAAATATTCAGGTGCACACAAAATTATCCAGGATAAATCATATGTTACACCACAAAAAGTGTCTTAACAAATTCAGAAAGATCTAGATCATATAAAGTATGTATTTCTGCCACAGAGAGGTGAAAGTATAAATTGATCATAGAAAGAAAGTTCAGGGCTGGGGATGTAGCTCAGCGACACAAGTGCCTGCCTGGCAAGCGCAAGGTCCTGGGTTTGATTGTTGGTACCAAAAAAAAAAAAAAAAAAAAAGAGGAAGAAAGAAATCTCAAAATTTCACAAATATGGAAATTAAAAACTTGAAAAACCAACAAATCAAAGATGATCTCGAAAAGAAAGCAAACAAAACAAAACAAAATCTTGAGACAGGCTTCATGATTTGGTATAGAAAGACAATACCAAAACTTTTGGGACATAGAAAAAGCAGTTAAAGAGGTAATTTTATGGCAATATGTAAATATCTACATTTAACAAGTTAAGATCTTAACCTATCTTTTTTGTTTGTTTGTTTGTTTTTGAGACAGGGTCTCGCTCTCTAGTTCAGGCTGGGCTTAACTCACTATGCAGCCCTGGCTGGCCTTGAACTCATGGCAACCCTCCTGACTCAGCCTCCCAAGTGCTGGGATTATAGGCATGTACCATCAGACCTGGCTTTTAACCTATCTTAACATATCAATAAAACTAGAAAAAGAACAAACTAAACACAAAGTTAGCCAAAGGAAGAAAATAAAAAAAGATTATAGTATAGTTAGAGATTAGAAAAATAATAGAGATCAACAAAATAGTTGATTTTTTAAGACGAAAAAAAATTTAGAAAATCTTAGCTAGAACCAAAGGCTTTCTCCTGAGATACATTCCTAGCCTATTTTTTAAAATTTTATTTTGACACAGTCTCACTAAGTTGCCCAGGCTGGCAGTCCTCTCTCATCAACCTTGTGAGTAGCTGGGATTATAAACCCAGCTTCCATGAAATCCTAATATTTTCTTCTAAAAAAGTTACTCAGGAACAGCCTCAACTTTTATTTTATAAAGACATCGTGTTCCTTTTATCACTTTTTAAATCCCTTTATTTCACTGTTTGCCAAAATGGATTTATATTGATAATACTGGAGGATAATTTCCTTCAACAATGGATGTTGCTTTGTGGCCGCAACAAGGTTGTGCAAACATCTCGAAGAGGAAAACTGAACGCAGAGTCTTGTGCATGCTAGGCAAGTGCTCTACCACTGAGCTAGGTCCCCAGGCCGTAAGAAAAAAAATTGTTTTTAAATTTTGCGACAGGGTCAAATTTTCGATTTTCTCTACCTCACCCTCCAAGTAGGTGAGATAACAGGATAGCGCCGCTGCACCCAAATTGTTCGTCTGTTCTTATGGCCATCAAAATAATTCCACAAAAACTTGGTGTGTGTGAACGTTTAAAGTGGTGCCTTACGTGCCAAATAATAATCTAGATTTCAGAGTCATTGCAAAACTTCCCCCAAGTACGTTGTGAGAGTAAGAATATACAATTTGGCTTCACAGAGTAATACTGCTAATTTCAATTACAATATACTTTATACTCAGGAAAAAAACAATATATTTTTACGCCTGTCTTGAGAATCATACTTCTCCTCGCTGCCCGCTCCTTTCTTCCCCAGGCACCAATATCTATATATTTCAAAATCTTTACTACCCTATTTTATCCAGGACTCTCTCTCCAACTAGAATTGTGAGAAAAGTTTCCACTGACTCTTGGCCAGAAATTCACTGTTCTAAAGTTTAACATTAACATAAGCAGTACAATTTCTGGAGGTTTCTCTTCCCTCTTGATTAATTTATTTTTTAGAAATAAACATAGCCTTGAAGCTTTAAATCACTTGGGCCTGTGTGTGTCGGGGGGAGATGATTCTGTGTTTCATCAGCCAATCAAATCGAGGATTGTGAGCCTGAAGCCAATGGATGCAGACCGGGGGCGGGACTTGGAGCAAATACTGGCTGTTATAACTGCCCTTGGTCTGCGCTGTTTGAAGTGAAGGAAATGATTGCCTTCATTTGCTTCTCTCAACCCGCAGGGTGTCCCACTGAGGTTCTGGACGGTGAGCGCTCCTTTCATTTCCATCTCTGGAAGTTCACCTTTTCCCTTTGGTACTTCAGCCTTTTCTTACAGAAAGTCTCCACAACATTGCAGCTCTGACTCAGTCACACCCTTTGGGAGCTTCCGCTTCTTCCTAGGGTTACCAAGCAAGATCTCTCCCCAGATTAACCAGGCTTTCTGGTCACACGTTCTCCTCCGCTTGACTCTGAGTCTCCTCTGAACGCTTCCCTGGCTTGTGAAGATTCCTTGTGTGTTCATGAGGGCAATGGGAGACCCACCTTTTTGTTTGTTTGTTTGTTTTGTTTTTCTTCTGGTACTGGGTCTCGAACTCACCACCTTGAGCTTGCCAGGCAGGCACTTTGCCGCTGAGCTAAATCCCCAGCACCCTGACCCATCTTTGAAAGTCTCAGACTCATGGGAAGGCTGCCAGTGCGGGAGCGGAGTTAACGAGATAATCTGACCATAAACCTTTGTGAGTTTTACAGCTTCTCGAGATAAGACCTCAGGATATTTTTTGTCGCCTCATTATGCAAAATGCGGTGACTAAAAAGAAAAAGGAAGACTGTTCTCAGGTTTTTCTGTTTGTTTTTTAGGACCTGGATGAATTTTGTGACTCTCCTTCCATGAGAAAGAGAGTATCTAAAGTTGGCTGACTGGCTGTTAAGGTCAGTTTACACGCCATTTTGAGAAGGCCATCAATAATTACCTCCACACATGAAGAGTCTTGATATAGTAGCTATAAGAGTATTAATTTATAATCAGTAGAGTAGAGTGTGAGGTCCTAATTTAATGGCATTATTGGGAAGTAATAGAAATTTAGGAGGTAGGGCCTAGTGGATAACAAGGGGTGAGGTTGGAGACTGTATCTTGCCCCTGACCCCTTCTGGACTGGCTCTTCCACTCTTTCTGTCTGCTTCCTGACTGCCAGGAGGTGAGCAGCTTGTATGGTATTTCTGCCTTGTACATATGCACAAGGGAATATTATTCAATCATAAAGAAGAACAAAATCCTGTCACTTGCAAGAAAATGGATGGAACTGTAGATTACCATGTTAAGCAAAACAAGCCAGACACAAAGTTAACTATTGCATGTTTTCTCTTACACAAGAAGCCTAAAATGAATGAATGAATGCATGCATGCATGCATGCATGACTAGAAGGAGAAATGATAAGAAACCAGAATTTAGATCTTGGAGATGAGGAAGGTAGATTGTTGGTGATGGAGATAGAGAAGATCAGCAAAATAGCAAAGAAAGGGAGAGAGATGAAAGCGAGTGAAAACGATCAAGATATGTTATATGCATGTGCTAGTTCCCAAAAATTAGCATCACTGTTTTGTATTATAATCATGCCCTAATAAAACAATATATAAGTGCCACTGGATGATATGCATGTGTATGATTTTTTTTCTGCTATAAAAATTTATATAAAAATTTATTTCAAGTATTTTCACAGTAAGCATGTGAAATTTTCTCTTTCAACATGTTTTATAATCAGAAGACATATATATCGATATATAGGTATATATATCGATATATATATCAGAAACTGAAAAAATGTTTATGAGAGGAAGTTCAATAGGTGATTGGTTGTTTGGTGTGGCAGTCAGACGAAAAACTAGTAGCAAACACTAAGAAGGGTTCAGGTACTGTTATAAGACAGAATCATGAGAATTTAAGTCCTTGTATACAAAACTGTTCTTCCTAGAGGAGGCTTATGGGATTATCTGACTGTGACAGTTATTAATTACTTCAGTCCTATATCAAGGCCCTCTTTCTTGTTTCAAAAAGTAACCATGAGATAAAACAATAATTCTTAAGTAAATATTTTGGGTTTCCATATTGTTCATTCTTGGTTGCTGCTGTAATATTTCAAAGAGAAAACTTGACCCATTGGTGTTCCAAATAAGATACTGGAAGGTTGTGGTTGGGTATCAACATTGTCTATTTATTTCTGTCTAGACAAAAAACAAGATAGATCAAAATATTCTTCCCTCATCCTACTTCCCCTCTTTAGCTGCTGCCAGAACACGCTTCCAGAGGCTCAGATAAAATAAGGGCAAGCTCCCAGAGCACCGTAACCTGTCCCCACTTGTGGCATCAATGATAGGTGAATGCTTAGATTTCTTTCGGATAATTAGGTAGATGCACATTGGATAATAAGTGCGTCATGCTCGACACTGTAAAAGAACAACAGGTGTCACTGGCTGGTGTTTACCACATAGAGTTCTACCTCTTCCATTTTGTTTAAGAATGAAATGTCATAAAAGAAATAGTCATTTCTAATTTTGAAAGACCAGAGGATAAAACCGGAAATACTTACCGAAGTCATATGGGTTACTTTTTCAGAAAAGCATTAGAAGACCACTAAGAAAGGAAAGATATGTTCCTTTGATTCTCTCTGAATTTTGCAAAGGTATAGAGTCAAATTCAAACAGACTGCAAGAAACAATATGGCTGATAATGGCATTTCCCACCATAGTTCTAGCAATGTTAATGACACATTGACGACACTCATCATGCGTGTGGTTTTGAATCCTCCTGATGACCTCCCCAAAGTCATTTTTGTATTGTCTCTCATTTGTACTATTGGAGGTAAGTCTCTGTGTTTCTCTGTCTGTCTCTGTGTCTCTGTTTCTGTCTCTCTCACTTTATTCCATGGATATGTCTAATAAATGCTAACATACAGAATTAAAGAAAGTCACAGTAGTAGAAAATTAGAATGTCACTGTTAAACGTCATTCCTTTATCGCAGTGTTTTTAATGAAAGGAATCAAAGAATGACCTGCCTCTGAGGAGAAAAAAGAATCTGATTAGACAGTCTTCACTTCCATCAGATTCAAAGTGCTCCTACATTTGTACTTGCTAGATCAGGGTTAGGTTTCAGTAATGGGAATAACTGAAGCAAATAAGCAGAAATCAAATGTTGGGGCAGGGAGTCCTATGAGTCATATCCAAATGATAAATATATGCCCACTCTTATAAGAATAATGAAGAAACTAAAGGAAAATACTCTTTCCTACTTTCTTTGACTTGAGAAGAAATGATATAACAAAGAAGCAGAACAAGTGAAATAGAAGAAAGTACTATATTACTTATTGCTCTTTGATTACACTGATAAAGGTAAATAAAGTTAAGGTTTATTATTTATTATTTATTGTGTTATTTATTGTGGGCTTTGTAATACGTAATATGCAACTAGGTTTCTGCTGGTCGGAAAATTGTAGGTACTTTTCAACTGTTCCTCAACCAGGAGGTTTAAATTTTTTTTTTACTAACCTTTTATTACAGGGTTGCTAGCTAAACTTATCTCTGATGTATAAATATATAGAAATTCTATTATAAATATTTCCATAATAATCTAAAAGCCAATGATTACTAGAAATGTTTACTGAAGATTGTAAAGAAATGATATACATCAAAGGAGAGGTAAAGCAGGAAATTCGTAGGCTAACAATTACACTATGTGCTTACAATGTGAAGGAAGGTTTCAATTATAGGAAAATATGACATCAGTAATGAACAGTATTTCACTGTCCTCTGTATTAATTAATAATAACATTAAAGTTGAATAAATGTGATATTTCATGGTTTTCAGTAACAACATATGTTTTGCAGCATTTTTGAACATGCATTTCAAAGTCTTTCTAATTCCTCTCCCGGTGATATTATTTTTACTTGGATGCGGTCTTGAAATACTAAGTTTTACATCTTTTGAGGTGAGTATAATAAATGAATATTTTGTACTATACTTAAGAATGACACAGATGCAAATCTTGATTAAAAAAATTTGTAAAAATATTCATCCCGTCATTACCTTCTCATCTGATCGATGCTTGTAATATTGAAAAGGGGACCAGGCTTGCAAGGTCAGTTCCAGTGCAGTGAAGAAAAAGTCTAAAAGTATACTGGCAAATCAGAAAGAATACCCATAGAGCTACTGAGTTAGAATGGTGCCTGAGTTTTTAAGAACAGTTAAAAAACTTAGATAAGAAATTGACTAACAAGATAAAATCTTAGAGAAATTTTGTGCTGCCAGTACAGGATTTTAGTAGTAAGTTTATTCTGATATTGAGTCATTTTTTTTTACCTCAATTAAAAAATGTTTTATAAGGTTTCCAGTGTTCCTGAGGTAGAAAATATTAAGAAACATAAATTGAACCTCTTGTCTGGAGTTGAAAGTGAGAAGAAAGGCCAACTATAGTCAAGGAAGCTACAGTATTGCAAAGTATTTGAGGGCAATTAGAGTCAGTTAAAGAAGAGAGAAAATACTGTAAAGTATATAGAATTTATTACACATTAAACAGTACTGTAGGTCATTTTGTGGTAAACTTCTTATGTAAATAGAGTATTTTACATTACGCAGGCCTTATGATCTCCATTATAGCTCACCTCTGCCATTGTAGCACAAAAGCAATCATAGGCAAGGCATATATGACGTGCCGTAGCTGTGTTCCAATAAAACTTTATTTACAAAAACAAACAATGGGCTAGATTTGAGCTGGGAGCCATAGTTTCCCAATTTTGGTCAAAAAGCATGGATATGAGAACTTGTCAGAAAATTACTGACTTTTCTTCACAATTTTAGTCAGTGATGTTCACTAAAATTATAGACAATATGTATTCATCTAAGAACCAGAAGCAGGTTATTACTTCAGGTGTTACAAATGTAACCTTGAAGGAAAACAATCTGTGCATGCATTCACAGGACAGGGAGTAAAAAAGAGACACACGGAGAATACAAAGATGTCACCTACTATCTAATGCAGAAAAGATATATTTAGTGTTTCCTTAAAGAACGAACACTGGGTGGTAAGGTTTGCTAAAATCGAGTAAATATTTTATAGGTAAACTTCATTAATTTTTTCATGAACTGCATTAATTTTCCAGTTTTTATTCCTGTTAGTCTTTCTTATTCTTCCACATATACCTTCTAAATAGTCTCTGTCTAATTATTTGTGGTTTCCTATGATCTTCTACTCCTTTGTGGATTTTTTTGTGCACCTACCTGATCTTTCTCTTGTACACTAAAAGTCAGTTACATATTCTCCTGTCCCATGCCAATATGTTTACTATACGTGTTATTTAAAAAAAAAAAAAAAAACAGGCACAAAGATGTACATTAACTTACCTCTGTAATGGGTAATAATTACATAGGAATTTATAAAAATCCAGTGGAGTCAAGACTTCAGCGCTTATTACACTGTGTTTTATCTTTTTAAAATTTTCTTTCTCTGTTGCTAGAGATTGGGGAGTTTGTTGTGTATTCTATGCTAAGACAGGGATGAATAAAATATTTTTATATTACTAGATCCAAAAATATGCAGATGCCATACAATGGATAAATCCAGACTTATTTTTTGGTATATTCATACCAGTAATTATGTTTAATGTTGCATTTGACATGGATGTATACATGCTTCAAAAGTTAAAGTGGCAGGTAAGTATTATTTTTTCAATGATAAAATTCATTCATGAAGCTGAGTGTGGTGGTGTATGCCTATACTCTCCTCACTCAGGAGTCTGAGGCAGGAGAATTACTGTGAGTTCAAGACCAGTTGGCGCTGCATAGTGAGTTTGAGGCCAGCCTGAATTATACAGTGAGACCCTGCCTCAAAAGCAAAAAAAAAAAAAAAACAAACAAAAACACCTTCATTTATGAACCATGAGTTATTTGTTTTTAGATTTTAAAAAAATTGCTCCAAAACAGAAAACAAAGAAGATGGAAGAAGTACAGGGCATCAGAATAGTAAATGTAGCTTTATATGTCAGTGAGTAAATCATATTATGGCAATTGTCTGGCATGTTGAGATCATGTAGAAAATATTCCAAAAATCTGACTGCAGAACTTCATACCAATTAGAATTTAATTCTAATTCTGAGAAGCTATATGAGAGATATTACGGAAGTATATTAGCTCTAGTAAAAAAGATCTTGCTGAGAAAAATCATGTTTTCAATTCAGATGCTACAGTCTAAAGCTTCTTGTACCCACATGTAAATGAATAAAAGCCAAGAAGGAAACCCACAGAAGTCGCCATAACCCTAATTTACAATCTACAATGATTTTGTTTATCATGGGAGATAAGACTGTGTTAGGGAAAGACCACGAGGTAAGATACTTGAAATTACAAATAGGGTGTATATTTCTTTCAAAGAAATCAAAAGTTTTGAAAGTCTAAGGCTATTACTTAAACTGCATTAGAAGCAAAATTATTTGAACAATGTACATTTTTTATCCAAATGCAAGCACAAGGAGTTCAGAAAAATGACAAAAAGATGAAATTGAAACGAGCAGAAGTGCAAAAGTGGTCTGTGTTACCTCAGGTGATCTCTGCTAAGCCATCCCATCATCTCTATTCAGGAGAGTGTTAGCTGGAACAGTTTGAGACCTGGATGGTCCTATTTGTGTGTCTGCTGGTGGGTGCTCTCAGTACTTCCTGGTTCTACATCTGTAATAATCCTGATTATCCACTTTGTAAAATGGAAAACAAAAGTAATTTGATTTTTCTACTATAAAATTTCTTGCAGTTATTTTTAATTACAATTCCTGGCTTTGCGATTAATTACATGTTAATTTTTTGGTATCTGCTATCTGTGAATAAATTACTTTTGAAACCCATCCAACTGTCACTATTTTCATCTATCCTTATGAGCGCAGATCCCATGGTAACTGCAGCTGCCATAAAAGATCTTGGTAGGTATATTTTTCTCTTTTTCTATATTAAAATATCATATTTTGTAATTAATGTGTCCTAGTTTTAAGATATTTTGTGTTTGCTAACTTTTCACTGAGCGAAGTTGTCCAGTAAGGGATTACAGATTGAAATTTTAGCAGAGATTCTGGAAGTGATGCTTAGGACAGAAAGAAATGCCAGTGTCCAACAAGGTCATTATATCCATTTGTGGACTTGGGCAGAAGATTGCTTAGAATCCTTGTATTCTACATGTTTCTACCTTGAGCTAATGAAAGAGTTCTGGGATATTATTGATTAAATTTTGGTTGGCCCAAATTTGTTGTTCTTTGAAAACATTCATTAGGATAATTACATTTAAATAAAAATGTCTTTGGAGTCATTGTCATCATAGAGAACAAAAGCTCAAAAAGTCAAAAACAATAAAATTGCTGGCAATAATAGTGGTTGCAGCATAAAATATTTTAGGATAAATGAATCTTTATTGAAAGGTTAAATGCCAAATTAATGTCACCCAGAAAAACAAAATATTTCAAGAGCCTCACACAAGAAAAACAATAACTTCATATTTTCCCTCAACCTCATTTTAATGATAACTAGAAATAGCATTTTAAAATAGAATGTTAGGGGCTGGGGGTTTAGCTCAGCGGCAAAAGCGCCTGCCTGGCACGCGCAAGGTCGTGAGTTCGGTTCCCGGTACCGGAGAAAAAACAAAAACAAAATAAAATAAAATAGAATGTTAACGCCACACATCTATGCATGCCCATGTACACATAATAACAACAACAGTACATGTGCGTATTCTTTACAATTTCATTTTCACTGTATGGGCAATTAAAGGCAAATAGCAATAGAATATGGGAGACACACTGAGTTTAAATATATGAATAAAGGAAAGCAGTGTGTTCAACCTAAGATTAAGAGAGAGAAGTGAGAGGATAGAAGAAAGAAGTGCCAGCATCATCATTGAGACTTTTCTTCTTCTCTGTATTCTTTCACTCCACATATCTCTTTCTATATGGCTTTCTCAGTACCAACACTGCTAAAAAGATTTGAGGGGGTGAGTGCTATGATATATAGGAGCTGATTCTATACCTTTCTTGCAATTTATCATCATCTTGTTATCTAGTAGGTCACTGATTTTCTAGCCTGTTATTGTTGAACTTAAATATTCTATTTGCTATATCTTACTAGTCTCATAAATTTTAGCCATCTTGCCCTCTTTTCTGGAGTTTATTTTTTTTTGCACTTCGCATCTCTCAAAAAAAAATTAAAGCATTTCCCACTTAGCATTTTTGCTTGAGTTTGCAAGGCGTGATTTATATGCTTATGAATTCATAAATATGCAAACGTTTTATGCATACAAATATAGTCTTTATGTATCTATATGTTACATATGCAATTATCTTTTGAGGATATATAGGCTCAAAAAATAATTTGTCCAAGACTATGTATGCAGTACATGAGTACATTAAGATTGTCTTGCATTTTTATTGTTCTTTGACTTACGTCCCCAAGTTTATTATTCATTTACAAATACTCTCCTTTTCTATGCTAATTGTATGTCTTAAATCATAGTAGATTTGGTTAATAATAAATTGCAAATGCCGTGTTTTAAAAACACAACTTGGAGCCAGGTGTGGGGTGTCTACCCATGATTCCAGCATGTGGGAAGGTGAGGATTGCCATGAGTTTAAGGTCATCCTGGACTCTATAAGTGAATTCAAGGCCAGCCTGCACTACACAATGAGACCCTGTCTCAAAAAAAAAATTGCAAAAAATACCCAACAATTTGGGAGGCAGTTCTGATGATGTGGGCTGGACTCTGCTGATCTCTGGGTAGGTTCATAAAACCATCTACAGCCATCTGACAGATGAATATGCTGGGACTGAGTGATTCTGGATGGTATCAAATCAGGAAATTCACGTTTCTTCTGTATCACTCATGCTCCTTTTGTAGGGTGGCCAGGAAATGCTACCATGATAGAGGCAAAAGCCTAAGCAAGAGAAAGCAAAATTCTGTGCTTTCATTAGTCTTATAACCAAACAGATGGATCTTTTTGTGCAGTCTCAGAGCAATGGACATAGATGCAGGAAAGTGAAGAACTGGACCATCAAGGCAATTAAGCTCCCAGAGGGAAAGGCTGCTTTGACTTTTCTTCCCTCCGGTCAGCAAACTTACAGATGTGGAGTGGGTGGTTCACATAAAGAACCTTTCCTTTTTTCTCCTTTCAGTAAGATACTAAAGATTCTCAAAGTCATAGTTTAGCCAGCTGTGCACATTTATTGGTACAAGAAAAGGACAACTAACAAATATATAAACTTAAAATACCCTCATAGAGGAAAATTAGCATGGAAGATGGAAATAGGGTGGAGCTTGATTTCTAAACTATTGAGAAGAATAGATGGAAAAGTCAGGTAACTTCCAATCGAACTAGATTATCTGGACAGTTGCCTGAACATTTGACTTAGATGCTATGTTATGAAGCCTCAGTCAGGAAAGGCATTTTATCCTTCAATCATCATTTATGTCTTGCTTTAAAACTCCCTGTCTTATAATGGATTCACTTATACAGACCTACCCACTGAATTATTAAAAAATAGTAAATTTCACGTTTTTAATCAGTACTTTGAAACAAAGAAGGAGAGCTCAAACTAAACATTTGACTTACATAAACATAATGGGCCACAATTAATTTGGTACTGAATGATGATGTAGACTTAGATTTTATGAATAGTTTATTAATGAAATTTCTTTGTTGTCCAACATATCTAAAATATAAGCATGTAATAGAAATTATGTAATGTAAATCCAAAGCAGAGAGTATTTACTCCTTTCCAATGCAATTTTATTCTTTAATGTTGGTATTTTTCTCGCTTAAAAGAATCCCCCCTTTGACATACGTAGGTCTTTCTAGAAGCCTCATCAGTTTAATTAATGGAGAATGTGTGATAAACTCTGTGATGGCGTTGATTGTATTTACTACCACTATGGATATTAATGACAGGAGACAGCGCAAAGCCACCTATAGCTTAAGTAAGGACAATTTTTTTCTTAATTTCTTAAAACTAGAATTCTATATTTTCTGAAATTCTATAATTTCTGACATTAATTTTGTAATATCTTACCATAAACTATGTTTATAAAAATAGAACAGTGAATACTAATGTTGTTATTTACTCTTTATATAGTACTACCATCCTTTTATAATGTAGTATTAGTTGTGGTTTTGTTGTGAGGCTTGGTGAGTGCTTTGTATGAGGATGCTTGTAAGAGCAGGGCTCTACAGCCTGGTCAGAAGCAAAATTCTAGACAACAAAGATGAGAAAGGTATTTTTTAAGTGTGGGAAAACAGCTTAGAAGACAAGCCAGGTAGTGCGTCCTTTAATAATGAGAGGGGGCAGCTTCCCTTCTGTTTGCCCTGAGACGATCTTCCATGAGGCAACTAGCATAAGGTCAATTTAGGGAGAAAGGATGAGTCATGCATCCACCATAGGGTCAAGAAGCGGTGTTTATGAACAGAGAATTGAAAGCTGCTCAAAACTAAATGGTTGTAAACTATACACATGTACAGTTATTGTCCAAGACAAGAAATGTAGCATTACTAGCACTCTTGGAAGCATCTCAGTGACCCTTACCAATCAAAATCTCTTTTCTTTCTCCTTGAAAATTGTTCAATGTGTAGTCTCTGACATATTGGGTAGTGGGAAAGGTGAATGCACAAGACTTATTCAAGATGCTCATGAAACAAAAATATTTCCCAAGAATTAAGTGATTTACCTTTTTATTGTATTGGCATTTGCGCTGATCTTTGAAAAGCCTTTACAGCCTTTTTGAGAAATTGATAAACAGATACTATACCACTAATTGAGTGGCTTCATTATTCTGAGGCCTTCTGAGGCATCATCTCATTCCACCACCTTTGTCCTATCTCTTTGAGAAACAAACATTTAGAAAATTCCTACAAGCCATGGTCTGTTTCACCAGGGATCTCTAGATGCCAAATAACTACCTCTGTGGATGTGGGTCTTTCTATTACCGCTCTCCTCAAAAGTGTAGGACATACCAAGTCAGTTTTCTGACCACTAAGAAGAGGAGATTCTAGCTGTAATTGTTTTCCTTGACATCAGAGAATGCTTCATTGCTGAGCATCCAGTGACACCACTGTTCTCTAGTCTGGCCTATCCCACCTTACATATTTAGTCCAAACTCCAAATTGAAGACTAGTCTTTTCCATGAAGATCCATTTTGGGAACCACTCCCTAATTTCTTCCTAAAAGGAGCTGGTCCAGGTAGCTGACAGTTACCTTGGTTGGAAATAAGGTATCCTTGCCTTTGAGACTTTGCCTCAGCCTTTGATTTTTTTTGTTTTTTGTTTTTGTTTTTTCTGGTACCGGGAATTGAACTCACAACCTTGCGCTTGCCAGGCAGGTGCCGTGCTGCTGAGCTAAATCCCCAGCCCCTGCCTCAGCCTTTGAGACTTGTAAGCCACGCACTGGTAAAGCTGAGTCCACTGTTAATATACCTGGGCATGAAAGCTCAGAACACCTGTGGTACATCAGCTTTCAGGGCTTTAAACTTGCCATCTGTGTTGGTTTGGGGCGTGTTTTTGCAAGGGAAACAATATAATACAGGACATGTATTTTATAAGATTATTTGTAATAGTCACCCAAAGAATGATATACAAAAGAGGGCAGGAAATCTGTCCACACACCAAGACCAAGGAATCCAGCCAAGGGCCTGGATCCCATGAAAATGTCCTGCATGAGTCTAGCTGAATACCTAGACCTCATAACAACACCTCTCTCTTGAATCCAGCTGGAGGCCCAGAGCCCAGAACAACATCTCATGCAGGCCTGCACTGAGAAGGCCCAAAAGTCAGTGGTGGAATCTAGAAAGTCTGTGCCAGCAAGATGGAGGATCTGTGCCAGCAGGCTGAAGGATCTGCACTGGAGCCAGGAAGTGACATGCAAAGTAAGAACCAGAGCTCCCCTGAAAAGTACCACAGCCATCCTCAGCAACAGTGAGATCCCAAGCTCCTCCAGTGACCAAGATGGCTGAGTTCTCGTCAGGAAAGCCAATGCAGCAAGCTTCTCCTGGAGATGGTGCAGCAAGTGCACCATCTTCCCCTCTATAGCCAGAAAGTGACGCTCAGAGTGAGACCAGAGGTCCTGCAAAGTGAACCAAAGCTATTCTCAGTGCCAGCGAAGTCCCGAGCTCCTCGAAGGATGAAAACAGCTAAGTTCATCAGAAAGCCAGCATGATGAACTCCTCCAAAACAACCAACAGCTCCTTACAGCTTCTACCAGCTCCAAGAGCCTTTCTCAGCTCCCAGCAACCTCTTTAGTTCCCAAAAGCCTCTCTTTTCCTTCTGCAGTTCTGCCTCTTATGCTGCTGGCAACAATCCCCAGGTGGGACTCCCACACCCAGGACCATGCTTACTCAGTTCAGCTGGGGGGTTATAAGTTGACTACCAGTTATCGATCCACTACACCGTCCTTGGTACATGAGAAAACCAAAGAGCCATACATACAACATTTTGCAGAATGCAGAGTGCAAGAGAGGTGACCATAAAGCACTCAAAGCTTTCACTATAAAAATTCCCATAGGTATGAGGTTGTTGAAGATGACTAAGGTGAAAAACAAGAAATTTTCTATATTCAAAAGCATCTTAAAAACTCAAGATGCATCCAAGCTTGGTGGCACACACGTATGATCCCAGCATTTAGGAGGTTGAGGCAAGAGGATCACCATGAGTTCGAGGCCAGCCAGTTTGAGAACAAGACAACTTGAACTATGTAGGGAGACCCTGCCTCAAACAAACAAACACTCAAGAAGCTTAGAGAAATTGAAAAGTACCAAGAAATAAAATCAGTCATGCCAGGCTGGAGAATACGTACGTGTTCAGCTACTAAACCTGGAGCAGTATTTTGTCAGGCTCAATTTCAAATATATTGACCACAGACCTTCAGAGAAATTTACATCAGAAATGATATCTGCAGTCTAATCAAGAGGACATTTTTGGTATTTGCTGTAAGGGGATAAAGAGAATGTAGAAAGGAAGGTATTGATGTGGAGGTTCGTTCATCCATTCATTGATCCAAAAGTTATTTAATAATGAGTAGTATGCAATAATTCCTATTCTAGGGCCTAGGAATTGAGTCAAGAGCACAATTGCTAAATACCCCTCTCATTCCTAGTTTTCATTGTAGTCTTGATGGCAGTCAGTGGAACAGAACACTGTGGGGTTTTGTTTGTTTTTAGGCTTCAGAGAAATAGAAACTATAAGTAATCACTATTAATAATAATTGTAATAACTTTAGTAATAAAAACTGCTGAAAGAAAAGTTAATTTATCTTCTTTGCCATTAGGTCTTTGAGATTTCAATAACAGTGTTACTTTTTTAAGTTATTACATATTTCATAATAAGGAAATTAATACTGAGTTATTGCACTCAGAATTCTTACCTTATCCAAATTGGGTGAAAGGAGTTTCACAGTAATAGTAGATTGGCTTGGATATTTTTCCTCACTTAACAAACCTAGTTAGCAAACTTATTAAATATTATTTTTCTTTCTTAAAGGAGAAGGCAACTTTCAAACTAGTATCTTAACACTCAAGATTCTTGTATGCTTTTGAGACCAGAGCTAGCCCCACTCTGTATGTCAGTGACAGGAAACACTGAACTCTGTCATAGCCACCCCATGCCCAAAGCTCACACAGGCTAGAGGGCCAGTCATGGATTTCTCCTCCCATGTTCCACCTATCCCTAGAGATATTCATCTTTCTATCTGGAACATCTAGAAACCATGGTTGTCTTTCAGCCAGTAGGTTGTCCTTCTCCAGTTGAGAAAGCATCCAAATCATCTCTGCAAGCCTGATATTGCCCTCTCTACCAATAGATGTTTATGGATAAGACTTGTAAAAGGATACTTTCCCTTTCATTCTGCCATCTCAGAGAATCATCTTGGAATTTGTTTCCAAATTCAGCCTTGTTTTTTTGTTGGTGTGATTATTGCTGATTTTCTGTCAGTCACTTATCCTGTTGGAGTTGCCTCCTTGGGCTTCCTGACACCAGGACTTACTCTCATCCATGATTGAAATTTTGTTCCCTTTCTCACTTGATAAAGGTGAGCACTTCCCTGCCTACTGGTATGCCTGCCACTGAGTGTGTCATGCACCAAAGCTCCCTGTTTCCTGGGCAGGGCATCATCACAATTATGCGATATCTAAAAATATCATTAACAATAAAAGAGCGGCTATCTTTTGGAGCAGTAGTTTCACTTTTAGGATGTAGGAAATAATCGGATAAGCATAAAAAACATTGTTAACAGAAATGTATATTACAAAATTCTTTATCTGGGAGGGAAATTAAAACAATTGAGATGTTCAAAAATAAAGAAGCAGTTATTCAGTTTAACAGGCCAACATAGCATAGGAGATTCAGGCAGCAGGGACCCAGTGGGATTCCTTTTTCTGTTCCCATAGTGTGTTACATTAGATCTAGAATATTAGTTCTATGGGTTTGGGGCTTCTGTGAGAGTAGCCATGATTTCAAACATTATTTGACATGCAATAGGCACTGTATAAATATATAGAGACCTTATTGGAGAAAGAAGCTCTTCAAGTTAACTGGACAGATTTTCCAAACATAAGTGTAGTTTTAGCATGTAACAAGAAACTCTTTCAACTTAGAAATAAAAAATACTGCACATACATATATTTTCAAAAGAAATAAATATTTTTAAGTTAATCTATTTGCAACTAACAACTCATAATTATACATATGTAGAGTACAGTGTGGCATTTTGATGTATGTATAGAATGCACAAGGGATTAAATCAACTTAATATATCCATCATCCAGCTTACCTGTAATTTTTCTATGCTGAGATACTTGAAATTTACTCCATTATTTTAAAATAGACAATACATGATATTGACTACAGTCACTTCCTTATGCAATCGATTTAAAACCTATTTCTCCTATCCATCTCAAACTTGGTACTCTGATCAACAATTCTTCTACTCCTACCTCCTGATCCCTCCCACCAAGGGAGTGACCATCATTCTACTCTCTACTGTAATGAGTTCAATTTTCATGTTCCATATACGAGTGAGAGAATATGATTGTAGTAGTCAACTTCTTCATTGCTATACCTGACACTCACAGTTTAAAGAAGGTCATGATTCTGTACATGCTTAGTGGGATGCAGGACACAAACACCATGCCAGAAAGGCATGGCATGCGTAACTGCTTAATTCATAGTGAGAGAAAAGCAGAGTGGAAGATCACCACCGGAGGAAGGCATGCAGGACCAGATATACTACCCAAGGTCACATGACCCAGGCACACCCGGAAGTGTTCTCCATCAATCTTCTGGGTGGCTTCTCAGCCAATCAAGGTGGCACAATCAAGCTTAACCCTCTCAGTAGTACTTTTCTGTTTGTGATTAGCTTATTTCACCCAGCATAATGTCCCTTAAGTACATTCATGTTGTTGTAAATGACAGAACTTCCTTTTAAAGACCAAGTAGCATTCCTATATGCATATATACCACATTTTTTAGTCCATCCACCTGTTGATAGACACTGGAGTGTCCATATCTTGGAAAAAAACCTCCCATTTAAAATTTAAGAACGGGCAAACCTGGACATACATTTCTCTAAAGAAGACACACAGACATTCTTAGGTACATAAAAAGTGCTCATCATCACTAGTCATCAGTAATCACTAGGGAACTATAAATTAGAACTCGGACATTCCTCCACCTGTTAGAACAACATTAGCAAAATGAAAAAGTAAGTGTTGGTGTGTGGAAAAGAGGGAACCCTTGAAAGTTGTTGGCGGTAATGTAAATTAATATAGCTATTAAGGGAAATGGTATTCAGATACCCTAAAAAACTAAAAATAGCCTACCATATAACCCAGTAATCTTAATTCTGGGTATATAGCTAAAGGAATTGAAGAGATATCTGCACTCTTAATGTTTATTTTAATAATGAGTTAAAGATATAGACAGTAAGACAAGCATCACTTAAAATTCAAGCAAATAAAGTCTATTAACTATTTGCCATTTTCTGTCTCTTCTTATAGCCAATGATATTATGATAGCAGTTTGGACAGATCTTATAGGAAGTCTCTTGTTTGGAATTTTCAGTTCAAAACTAATTCAATCCTGGATGGCTGACATTTGTTTTGATGATGTCAATTACACAATTGTCATCTTTGCAGCTCTGTACCTCATCTATTTCATTTGTAAGTGAAGGGTCTATGTGTAAAATTAAATGACATATAAAAATGCAAACAAAGATTACACATGCCATGAAAATACATATTAAGCAATTTTTAAAAATCAGCCTAACTAGATGTAATATTTTTGTTAAAATAATCTACCAAAAAGATAAAAGTTGTGAATATGTATCACAGAATAAAATGACAATGTACCAAGATGCATAAATTAACTATTATCATAGTAGAAAGAATAATTTGTGAAAACTACAGTTACAGTGAGTTCTTTACTATGCCTTTCCAAGTGAAAGAATTTTACAATCAACTGGAAAAAAATCACTTTGGTCATAAGAAGATTTAAAAAACAATTAATATGCTTGTTTTATAAGATATGTAAGGAGTTTTACTTCTCCAAACAGAATCCATATCATTTACATATACAGTAGACCCTCCTCTATATTTGCCAATTCAGCATCAACCAACAAGATGGAATGTACTGAACATATGCAGATTTTTTATTCTGATCATTGTTCCCTAAACAAAATACAGCAACTATTTACATAGTATTTATATCATATGCAATATTAGCAATCTAGAGATAAAAAGTATATAAGAGGAATGTACACAGTATTTAAAGCAGATAGGAGCATATAGGTTATATGCAAATGCTACACCATTTTATATAAGTGATTTGAGCATTTTCAAATTTTGGTAAGGGAGTGGCATTGGAACTGGTTACTGGTAAATACCAAGGGATGACTGTACCTATGGACTATTTATGGAAATTAACTAGGAAATCAGTTCAGTTAAATCCCAAACATTATTAACCATGATACAATTAAATTTAATATTTGTTTCAAGAAGAGGATTTGGGAAAATTTATCATTCTAACTGCATATAGTTAAATATGATTGTCTTGCTAACTCTAAGGTCAAAAAGAAAAAAATGGAAGTTGCAGGACAAGAAAGATTAAAAAAATTTTTAAAAATCTTCCATGTTATTATCCATTTACCGTGTCTTCTCATGGAGGTCTGGCAGATATTGATAATTAAGAAAATCACTGTCTTCTAGCACAGTCTCAGAATCACATTTTACCCAAGTCCTCACACGCTCCTCCAAATGATTTGGGGTCTGCACGTCAGATGATAGCTAGTTACCAAACCTGCCCCTGAGTTCACAGTAGTTTCTGGTTTTTTAATTTCCCTCTGAAGATGGGAAAAAGAAAAATTCACAGTGGAGACACAGTTTAGGATTCTGTGAGCTCCAGTGACTACCTCTGTTTCCTCCCTTTTCCATCTGTCCTGATGACTTTTCACTGTGGCCATAGACATTCAGCAAGCATCCTTTAATTTGAAGCTGCCTCCTGAGTCTCATTTTCTATTCTCAAGCAGCTTATCAAATTATCTCTTTCTAGACAAATACGATACTCTGCCAAGCAAAAATATTCGTAATAAAAATATGTTTAAAAGTATACCTAAAGTGCCAGGCATGGTGGTACACACCTGTAATCCCAGCACTAGGGAGGCTGAGGCAAGAGATTGCCAGAAATTTGAGGCTAGCCTGGGCTGCATAGTGAGTTCAAGGCCAGACTGAACTACCTAGTGAAAAAACTTGTCTCAAAACAAAACAAAACAAAGTAAAACAAAAAGCATACCTAAAATTTTGGCAATGAAATAATGGATGCTCTCTCTTTAAAATCTATAATATCAATACTTTCCCATAGTGTCTGAATTTTAAGGTATAATATATTATGTTGCTGAGGTCAAAGAAGAAACAATTCTAATAGAAGTACTTTTTAGGAAAATACTACAGTTTTTTATATTTTTCAATCTTCTGTAGTAAATGCACAAAAAATGTGCTGGGTAAATAGATCCATATTTGGTCTCTGTTGGCCCATATCCCTTTTTTAAAAAAAAAATCACACACCATTTCCATCTTCTACTGTCTCCCAAGAAGTTACGTGAAATGGACTAGTCCAGAAAGAGCTCATCAGTTTACATCCACTTAGCCCTCCTGAGTACTTCAGAAAGAAACAGATCTGGGACCGAGTTCTCTAGCCTCACTAGAGTATACGACAAGTTCTGTGACCTCTATATGCTGCTAATCACCTGACATGAAAGCAGCGCAAGTATGTCAGTTACAGACTTCACTCCACAGTTGGATGTGAATCTGAGGAGGAAACAGGACAGTCATGGTGTGATAACTGGTAATATTTTCCAGCTGAAAGCAAGTGGGCTAGCCTTTGTGTTTGCACATCTATGCTAATAATTTGTTTCTTCCTTTTACAAAACAGGTGAGTTCGTTAGAGTGTCTGGAATGTTCACTGTCGCCTCTATAGGACTTTTTTTAAATTCTACGAGTTTTAGACCACTGATTGGATCCTTCCTGTTTGAGTGAGTAGCTGGCACATTTTCCCTTTGTTTTATTCATTAGAAAATATATTATATAAGAGTAACCACATCTACTGGCCAAAGTAAGATGATGGTGTAGAAATTAACCCCATTATAAACTGTTTCTGAAAACCTTTTTTGGTTTTACCTGTACCTTGAAATCCTTTAATTTTAGGCAGAATTTATTACCTTACCTGGAGTTCATGTTGATTCATTTTCCCCACTAACTTCTCAAATCTCTAGACATCAACTCAGTAATTTCAATCTAAATCCTATACCCACTAGGCAGACCAGGAGTGAGCCAATGAGACAATCATATCAGTCATAAAACTTAAGAGGGGGCAATAAAGGGGCAGCAATTGAAATAAATAATATTTGAAAGCAATCTTGCTTTGAAAAATATAAATTAACATTAAAAATGTTTGAAGGCTAGTATTTAAAGGACCATGGGAAGATCCCACATAAAACAAGTAAATGAGTAAGCTGGGTAATTTGAATAAGATTAGCAATATTAGAAGAGAAAGTAAAGCAACTGTGGGTAAAAATGTTCTCATGCCTTGCTCAAAGGGATGAGCAGGATCTGTGCCATCTAGACCAAGGTTACAATACACAGGTAGGAACTAGACCTAAACATTCAGTGATAACATGTGTGTTAATAGAGGCCTGAAAAATAAACAAAAATGATTTTGGGGGTGTGAGAGAATTCAGCAGTCAGAAGCTTAGCGGTGTAAGATATCAAAAGATGTTGAAGTACTTCATTTAGGTTCCACGTCAGCTGCAAGGAAAATCAATCGTATTTGCTGCAAGGCAGGCTTTATTCAGCAATGATTGTGAAAATTTTAAAATGTCACACAAATATGTTATCATTCCTATGGAAATTAACTCAAAAACTGCCTTTCACCTGGCTTCAATTGGAGGCTTGATCTCCCTCTAAGACAGTACCTCCCCTGCATTCTTTAAAAACGGTAGCATATTTTCCACCTGCATCCTGATATTATGGAGTCTGGAGATGAACTGTGTAATCTCTCTGCACTACAGTGATTTGCAGATCATTTTTATCCCTCAAGGAACCCAATTTTGAAGCTCATACAGTAGGATTATGCCATCTTCCACCCTCCAGAAGCTTGAGATGCACTCTTTATTTTGTAAAGATCTTAGCTCCTGGTTCTCTGTGACTCTCTCCAACGTTACTCTGCACTATTTTTAGTAAAATCAGTGTCCATGTAGCTGATCCTTCTACTCTTTTGGCTTTTAGTTCCTGAATCATCTCAGCCCCCTGCTTCCATAGACATTAAATAATGACTGTATAATCTTAGTTCCAAAAATCCTACTGTCTAAAAGATGACGTGTGAAATTTCACTATCCAAGATGCTAAAGTTGAAGATAATAGTGATCAAATCTTATTTTACATCACAATAGCCTATAACAGGTCCATATATAGAAAATTTATATCATCTTATCTTTTCATTTTATGTGCTCTAGTATGCCCCACCAATTCCAACAACTCTGCCGCTATATTGTAATTATACTTCATTGACCCTATGATCTTTTACTGACTTTACCATGATTCATATATTTAATTCCTCCCCATCAATGTTCCTTTGAAACACTGAATAACTTCATTTACTAACTTTTCCTTTGGCTATATCAAAGTTGTTTTAATAGTAAACCCTATAGCTTGTGTCCCTGCTCCTATGATTTTTCTCTACCATTTTCATGTATACCCCAGTCTTCTCTAGTTATACTTATTACCTTGATATTCCTCAAATTTGCCAAGCATACACTCCTCTATTTGGATTTATATCTTTGTATTTATACTTTTGGAGTGAGCTTCCTCTGTATTAACAGAAGTGGCTGCCTACATTTTTTCATGTTTCTATTCATTTATCCCCTTGTTAGTCAGAAATTTTTCTAAAATAGAAAGTACCCCCTCACCAGCTTTTACAGCCTTATTTTCCCTGTTCTTTATTTCTCTAAAATGCCCACTCCATCATTATTCCTCTGGGGTATTGCCTGTATATTGTTAGAGAATAAAAATAACACAAATGCTTAGATGTACTAGACTCAATATTTATGAATAAGACCATAGGACTGCCAGGGCTGGGGATTTAGCTCAGTGGCAAAAGCGCCTGCCTGGCAAGTGCAAGATCGTGAGTTCGGTTCCCGGTACTGGAGAAAAACCAAAAAAAAAAAACAAACAAACAAAAAAAACAAACAAAAAATCAATTTTGGGGCTGGGGATTTAGCTCAGCGGCAAAGCGCCTGCCTGGCAAGCACAAGGTCGTGAGTTCGGTTCCCAGTACCAGAGAAAAAACAAAAAACAAACAAACAAACAAACAAAAAGACCATAGGAGTTCCAATTTTTAAAATTCTCAAATATCATTTCTACATAATTATATGCACACAAGAGTATGACCCACTACTACCTGAAAAGACCTAGGTTTACTAGGACAGATCATGGCATTAAAAAATTGGGAGGTCTTTTGTAGTGTGTTCAAATCATTTTGCGTGCACACAAATACACATACGAGCACATGCATGCTTGTGTCGGATGGATTTGAAGAATAGCTGCTCAGCATCACAAAGAATGTGATAGACACTTATTCCTTAGGGAATCTGATTTCATACTCATCAAATCCTACCATTAATTTCTACTGTGTGTGAAAGTGTCATGGCAGCTTCTTCTTGCTTAACTAGTTTGATTACATTTCATGGTAATTTAAAAGACAAGTTTTGAGACTTTCAGATAAAAGAATAGAACTACATCTGAGTGACTCTGAGGGAGAAGAATTTAGTTAGAAAGGCAAAATTATATTCTGAGGTGAGGATGAGGGGAAGGGCTCTGGCAATCACAAGGTAACAGGAAAGCTAAAAAGCACAGAGAAGCAGGAAGACAATGCAGAGAAAAACATGAAGTATTCTTTAGTGCCAACTTCAGCTCCTTCGGGAGAGAAGAACTTGATTATGCAACCACAAAGTAAGCCAGGAGAGGTGTGGTAGCTCCAATAATAAGCAGTAGACTAGTGTATGCTTAGTCACAGGAGAAACACACATCTATTGCAAGCTGTATTAGTCATTTTCCCATCATTGGGACCAAATATCCAACACCTGTAACTTACAGGAGAGGTTTACTCTGATTCACAGTTTTCAGTGGGTTTAGTCCATAGTAGACTGGCTCTGAGGCATAGTAGGAGAGTGTGGTGAAGGATATCTGCTTACCTCATGGCAGCTCAGAAGCAGAGAGCGAAGAGAGGAACCTGGGGCAACAATACGTCCTTCTGGGTCAGCCCCTGTGACCCACCTCCAATCAGGTCCCCCCTCCTAATAGTACATTAAGCTTCTGAAATCATCAATGGATAAACCCTCTGATGAGTATAGACCCCATGATCCAGTCACTTTCCAAACACAAACTTGTGGGAGACATTAAATCCAGTGTAGACAGTTAGTCCAAATGTGAGTCCTACTGTATGGTAGGCTAGCTTCAGAAAAGAAGCAACTGCAGCATTCCCCAATCTTACTGATTGAACTAGTGGCTGTACTGAGAGGAATTTTACTGTCTGGGACTGAGTTACTCCTGAACAACCAACCACACTTCAGAGTCCCTGGGATCACCCTGCTTGCAGTGACTGGATGGAAGTTAGCAACAAGAGACAGTGCTGAAGAGGGGGAAGATTAGTCCCCTACCTTCTAAGTTTAAGCAGTGGGTAACTAGAACTGTGGAGAACACCATGGTCAGGAGTCCTGTCCTCCTAGAGAGGAGAGACACCCATTGGGTATGGTTTTTTCAGGGGGCATGGTCCAAAATTGGCAGGATGAGGCCAGCGGATTGCTTGGTTAGCCAGATTGTCCCATACACACAGAACTCATGGTCCTTTAGCTTTCTTTGCTGTCTGATGTATTCAGGGATATGATTCTACTTGAACATTTGCCATGCCTTCCTGTGCTTGGGTAGAGGACCAAGTGGGACATTAACCAGCTAAACATAGTTGTGCCTGACAGAGGCTCCAGGTGCCCAGAAGGAAACAGACAAACACATAAAATCTAGAATGAATACAGTGCTGAGGCCAAAAATATAATTAGCTTGTCCTACCTGCTAGCAAAGGGTGGGGCAAGGCTCAGCATTCATACAGCCCCAGCCTGTTAGTTAGGGGCAGAGTGGAGCTGCAGCAGGTCCCCTGTTGACTCACTGCCTCCCCTCCTTACTGATGCATTATAGTCCTAGAAAGATTTTTTCCAATCTGAACACCTTGACAGGTGGAGATTTTTGACTCATTTTTCTTTTTCTTCTTTCTTTCTTCCTTTATTTTTTTTTTACTTTTTAATATGTTAATTGGGTAATTTTAAAATTTCTTTATAAAGATTTTTAAATCTCTTTCTTTTTCTTTTCCCTTTCTTTCTTTTTCTTTCTTTCTTTCTTTCTTTCTTTCTTTCTTTCTTTCTTTCTTTCTTTCCTTTCTTTCTTTCTTCTTTCTTTCTTTCCTTCCTTCCTTC